CCTAAACCCTAAACCCTAAGCCCGGCGCGCCTAAGGGGATCCGCAGGAGTCGAGGGCCGACGCCGCTGAAGCTGGTCTTCGGATGTGCGATGAGAAACTGGATGATGTCCTTATGGACTTAGGGGGTTTAGGGTTTAGGTTTTAGGGATTAGGGATTAGGGTTTAGGGTTTAGGGATTAGGGTTGGGGGGGTTTAGGGTTTAGGGATTCCTTATGGACTTGGGGGGTTTAGGGTTTAGGGATTACGGGGGCTCCCTAAAGGGATCTATAATGGTTTCTATAAGGGCTTCTATGAGGGAACCAGAAGGGTTCTATATTCTGGATAATGTCCTTATCCTGGGTTGTAGTTTCGGGCCCGCCCAAAAGATTCATGAATAGGTACCTCTGTGGGAACCGTATGGAAGTTAAAAAGTTTCCCAGACTGCCATCCAGTTATGGATTTAGGGTAGTTCTCTGAGCTAGGGTTCCTTGTAGGATACAGTACCTTTTATAAGGGTGCCGTACTATGTTGGCACCCTACTCTGGAAAACTACCCAGTTAGAGTTATGCATCTAGGGTTTAGGGTTCATCATGGGGCTTACGGCCTATAGGGTTTCTAGAAGTCTACGGTAGAACCCATGGGCCCCTAGTATGGGCCCTTAACCCTGGGACCCTAATATACCTACTATATACCCTATATATACCCTTAAGACACCCTAGAACCCCCTAAGGGCCCATGTTAGGGGCCCACGGGTTCAACCTTAGAAGAATTGTTTACGAAGTTCAAGTTCTATCGACCGGTTTCTTCTGGATCCTTCTGGCGCTTTTTTGTAGGATTCCCTGAGCCCTAAGTTCCGAAACGCTCTCGAGCGGGTAGGTGCCAAGTCAAAAAGGGTTTAGGGTTCAGGATTTAGGGTTTAGGGTCTAGGGTTTAGGGTTTAGGATTTAGGGTTTAGGCTTTTTTCCTGTAAGGGCCTGTCTTGCGTGTCCCAGGGGTTTTGTTCAGCCCCTCTCCACCGATCCATTAGACTGCAGTTCTGGTTACAGAAAAGCATGCATCTATGCATGCATGCATGCATGTATGTATGTATGTATGTATATCTGACCTACATATCGGCATATCAACATATCTGTTTGTATGTGTATACACCTAGATGTACGTCTAGATCTAGATCTCTCTCTATACGTATATACGAATACGTACATATGTAGGTACATACATGCATATGTACGTACATCCGTACATGCGTACATACATACATACGTACATACATACATACGTACATACATACATACATACATACATACATACATACATACATACGCACATGCATACATACATACATACATACTTACTTACATACATGTACATACGTGCATACATACATACATACATGCATGCATACATACATACATACATACATACATACATACGCAGACAAACATAAATACATACATACATATGGACACATGAATTTGGCTTTGGGGATTTGCAGGGTTTTGCGAAGCCTGCACAGCTCCCACCGCAGATCCGTCTTCTGCAAGGAGAACGACAGCCTCTGAGTCCAAAACCTTCAACGCTTAAACTTTAAAAAATGACCCCTAGACCTTTAGCCATAAAGCATTAAACTCTAAACCCCAAACTCGAACTCTAAACCCTAGACCTTAATCCTTTCATCCTCTAAACTATGACAGCCAGTAACGTGCCCGAACTGAAAAGCTAAACCCCAACCTCTTCCCTCGCACTTGGGCGTAAACCCACAAACCCAAAACGCACCTAAACTCCAAAACAACCCAACCCTAAACCCGAAACCGTAAACCCTAAACCCCCAAAACCTCAAAGCCCCCAAAGGCCGTAAATCCTGCATCCGGGAACGGTCGACCCAGCTTGTCCGGCCAAAGGTTTAGGGTTCAGGGGTTTGGGTTTAGGGTTTAGGGTTTAGGGTTTAGGATTTAGGTTTCGGGTTTAGGGTTTAGGGGATTCTCACAAGAACTTCCAGGATACTAGATCCTATCCCTACACCCTGCACGCTAAATCTTAAACACCAACAATAGCTCTATAAGGTTTAACTGGGTTTGGAAAATAAGCCTTACAATCCCAACAAAGTTGAGGCATATACTAGTCTGATTCTGATTGAGCGGAGATTTTCGGCGGAACACTACGCTGGTAACTTAGAGGTTTTTAGGTTTTTACATTGGGGCAGCCCCTCGCAATGCCCGCAACCTACACATTTAACCCCAAAGCAGTCAGTTGGTCAAAACGAGAGGTTATTAATGTAGGGGCCTTAATAATTAGAATCCTGTTTTGGGGGGTTCTTTGTTATAACTATAGTAACTATAGTATACTATACCCCCAAACCCTATTCTAATTATTAAGGCCCCTATAGTACTCAGTATTCAAACTTCTTTAGCTTAGGGGCTGAGTACCCTAGCCCCCAAAAAAGTTAACCTTTCCAATTATAGTAGGATTATAGAAGGCCCAATAGGTTGAAGGTTACCTACTCAGCTTTTCAGAACTACTATAGGTAATCATTAGATCCCCATAACCCTAAACCCTCAACCCTAAGCCTCTTCAGGATACCCTACAAGCCCAATAAGGTACCGTAAACCCTAAACCCTACTCAGCCCCTAAGAATGTCTTGAGTAAGTGCCCGGCTTTGTAGGACTCAGATGCAGGCATAGCCGTCCTCTTGCATTTGAAGGGTTTGGGGGTTGGGGCTGTACCTAGACCCTGAAGAACCTACCTTTTCAGGGTTCCTTAATATGACTTCCTTATATCAAGTTCTTAAAAAAGTAGGATATTTGGGGTTAAGGTAGGGGCTTATACAAGAAGCGTTTAACAACAACATGTAAATACGACCCCACTGCAACCCTGCTGACAAGATGAACACCCTCGGGCGGGGCGTCGGAAGGATGGATCTGGGAGCAGCTTTTCTGTTGGGTGCCGCGTGTCTTGCGGCATTGGCGGAAAAGTTAGGGTTTAGGGCTTAGGGCCATGTGCTCAAACATGTGGAAACCACAGATCGCGAGAAGCATGCCACTGTCAAACTCAACTCTAAACCATCCCTATACCCTAAACAGTTGTTGGTGCTCCTACTGTTGATGATATAAAACCCTGCATTACCTTAAGGATCCTGAACTATGGGAA